CATGAAGATAGATATTTGAAACAGAAGATGTCAGATTGGATCTAATTTTTGAATAAACGTATAATTTCTGTTTCAACCAAGGGGTTTGTTTAAAAAAGTGAGTTGATTTGTTATATTGTAATGTCTCCTGGGTGAGGAAAAATACATGCACACAGTTCAACATTAATTGACAAAAGATTATCTTGAAGCCAACCATGAAATGTCTGAAGATCTGCTTGTAACTGACTATTAATAGATTCAATATTGAAATCAGACAAATAAAGAACAGTATCATCAGCATACATTAAAATATTTGAATATTTCAATATTTTTGGAAGGTCATTTATGTATAATAGGAAAAGCAATGGGCCCAGTATGCTACCCTGCGGAACTCCCACGATGATTTGGTCTTTTATCTGCTTCTGCTTTTCTTCTAACCACTTCTGGTAAAGAACTACACAAGATGATGAGCTCTTTCAACATTTTTACTGTTCTCCGGAAAGTATGCAAAAGAGTTATTATTTTTACACCGACGTATAAATTTATGCACTTTTAAATATTTTTTTCATTTTTTAACTTTATCCTCAAACTGCTTCAACATATTCAACAGTGCATATAAACTCAAACAGATGACATCACTTTGGCTGTAATGATGATACATTTTGCACAAATGGAGATTGTATGATTTTCAATGTATGGCAAGCTGTTTTCCTCTATAAAACTATAAAACTCACAGCACCAGTTTGTGTTTACAGTGTGATTAAAGCAGGAGAGTAGATGACCAATTCAGCAAATAAAGCTGTAATTTTCTGTAGGTTTTTCCTATAATTTGATGCAACATCGTGTTATTTTTGGCTGAACTCAAATGGTGCTCAGTGTGAAGAAAAACTGAGTTTTTTAAGTTGCAAAAACCATGAATGAAACCCATTCATTTCAGCCAAGTTTCAGCAATTATCCTTAAATAATAAACAAATCTATTGAAGTGTATAGATTTAGATATGTATTTGTCAGAATGCAGCTCAGAGGATGTTTCCTACAGATCTTAAACGCGTTAGTTTGATCTTTCATGCCGTTTTGGAGAAGTTGACTTTATACGACATGTTTTACCACCAAGCTGCTAGAAAAGACTAAACTGTTATTTATAGGTTAAACATTTATTCCATAAATTACATCCAAACCCAGCACAGTTTCATTTCTCCAACTAAAAACTCCCCATTATTTATACATCAGATCCATTTTTATACTTTTATAGCTCAAACACTGTTATTTAGGATTACAGAGAGAGACACCATTTAAGATGAGGCAGTCAGTTTGTAACAGCTTGTGTTATTTTGCATTATCAGTGTATAAAATAATGTAAAAATAAAGATATTACATCATTTATTTTATTGGTTTTTGGCAAGTTTAATTTTAAAAATAATTTAAAAATTAAATTACTATAAAGAGGTATTATCAGATGTGAAAATTTTTGATTAGCAAATAAATAAATAAATAAATAAATAAATAAATAAATAAATAAATAAATAAATAAATAAAAACAGGTCCAAATGGGTTTAAGTTACCTTGTTTCTGCTTTTAAAATAAATATAAAAAAATAATGAATAAAAAAAATGCAGACTCACCGACAGAGACAAGCTGAAGACTAATGGCTGACTGCCCAACAGTTTTGAGCTTGTCACTGTTGCAGGACAGTTTTTTTCACATTCTGTCCTGCAACAGGAAACTAGTAGTTGACTAATTATTACGTAGAAGACGGAACAGCTCTTTATGGGAAATGCTGCACACTTACCTTTACTCACCCATTCAAAACCCACTTTTACATCACTTTATTAATTTATCATTTATCACTCTTTGCCAAAAGGTGAAAATGCAATAGTTTCATTTGTGATTGTGTGTCAGCAAAATATCTCACAAACCACTGGACAGATTTTACAACTGATTAACCTTCAAAGTCAACCCAATTCAAGATGGCTGCCACAGCTGTTCAATAAACACAAAAATGTCTGTAACTTTCAGTCCGTTTTGGAGAAATTGAGCTAAAATTTAGAGCGTTAGTGGCTGAGAGTCATCTTCAACACATGCTCTGAGTGCTAACAGATCCCATGAGTGATCCCACCAGCTATAAGGCAACCCCTTCTCATCATAAATTGTTCAAGTTCAGAATGTTGTCCCGTGTTCAGGCCAGGGGAATAAACATCTCTGATTGGACTAATTTACTTCAGATATATTTACCCTCAAAACACGTTTGTCTTTTCTTTTTGTTGAATGGAAGTAAGAATGTTGCTATGCAGGAGTGAATGTTCGTCACTTTTTTCTCACAATAATTAGAACATATAATGGAGCTGTACACTACTGTTCCAAGTTGCTGATTGCAAATTAACCTCCATGTTATTTCTTACTACGCAATAGAGATGTGATGTTCACGACCGATCCGAATCTTTTGAACGGCTCTTTACAACGAATGATAGGAGCCGGATCGCCGGCAGTAACGAGCCATTTGTAGTTTTATTTCTTTTATTCCTCAAATAATCTGTATTTTTCATACTTAAATCGCTCCCGCCTTGCTTTTGCACGGAAAACAGGCAGAGTTGTGGTGTACAGAAGCTCATGGTGAGAGGGGAAGGAGGGTTTCTGCTTGACAAACACATGGTTCCACCCACGTGACAGGATGACATCATTACATACGGCTACATGATGACATATTTTCCTATGTGATGACGTAATACGTTCAAAATCGAACGGCTCTTTTGAACAGCTCTATGAAACAAACGGCTCCCCAAGATCCGGATCCCTTCAAAGAGCCATTTATCCCATCTCTACTTCGCAACTCATTGTACAATAAATAACTAGTACACTGAACTGAGTAGAGATGTGACGTTCGCGAACGATCCGAATCTTTTGAACGGCTCTTTACAACGAACGATAGGAGCCGAATCGAGGGCAGTAACGAGCCATTTGTAGTTTTATTTATTTTATTCTTCATATAATCTTTATTTTTTCATACTTGAATCGCTCCCGCTTTGCTTTTTCACGGAAAACTGGTGGAGTTGTGGAGTACAGAAGCTCACGGTGAAAGCGGGGTTTCCGCTTGACAAACACATGGTTCCACCCACGTGACAGGATTACGTCATTACGTACGCGCTACGTGATGACATATTTCCCTATGTGATGACGTAATACATTCAAAATTGAACGGCTCTTTTGAACGACTCTATGAAACAAACGGCTCCCCAAGATCTGGATCCATTTATCCCATCTCTAGAACTGAGCTAATAGCCTGGTTAAAAAGGCCAGAACCAGGCTGCTAAACTAGTACAGGTACACCTCACTGCCAAATATGGTACAAGGCAAGGATTTATTTGACTAGAAGCAGCATTTAATTTCTTTAAACAATAAAGGAAGCCCCATTTGAACAGAGCATCAAAAAATTGAGTGCAACTCTTATTGTTCCTTTCCACGGAAATCTTTAATAAAAGGCGAAAGATTTTTACGATCTAAAGAGGGACAAAAGAGATCTGACTCACAGACTGAAAGGAGCCCGAACTGTATCTGTGACACAACCACCTGCATCACGGTTCACATTTTCGGACTAAATCAAACATTACATTTTTTCCCTCCCGATTTAAAGTTGTTATTATTGTCACCCAACTGACGCGAAATCTTTAAATGTAATATCAATTATAAAAAGTTATTGGTATTTTAAGCAACTTCTAGTCTCGCACGCTATGCATTGTGGGAATATGGCGGCATTTGGTCGCAACTTTTTCCCCTCTTAATCGCTTTGTTTTTTGTTAAATATGCAATTATTTATTACTAAAATAACCGGTGACCGTATAAAGCTACGTTACGTTTGCGATTAGGTTAAAATTGTCTTCGGATTTCTTCAACACATGCTCTGAATGCTAACAGATCCCATGAGTGATCCCACCAGCTATAAGGCAATCCCTTCTCATCATAAATTGTTCAAGTTTAGAATTTTGTCCCACAAGACACTTGGACGTGTTCAGGTCACGGGATTAAACGTCTCTGATTGAACTAATTTTCCTCAGATATATTTACCCTCAAAACACATATTTCTCTTTTCTCTTGAACAGAAGTAAGAAAATGTTGCTAAGCAGGAGTGAATGTCAAGTTTTTCACATTGACACAATGGAGTCGTACACCGCTTCATTCAGTTTCTGTTTACTTACTATACAAACCCTAATATATTTCATTTAATTAATGGTCAGTGCACTGAACTGGGCCTATAACCTGGCTTACTAACTACGTTTTAAAGCCTGAACATCATCTGATTATTTTAAACAGAGAAAAGGAAGCCCCGTGTGAACAGGGCATCAAAAAATTGAGTAAAACTCTTATTGTTCCTCTCCACGGAAATCTTTAGTAAAAGGCGAAAGATTTATACGATCTGAAGAGAAACAAGAGTGATCTGACTCACAACCCGAGAAGAGCCCCACCTGTATCTGTGACACAACCACCTGCATCACGGTTCACATTTTCGGACTAAATCAAACATTACATTTTTTCCCTCCCGATTTAAAGTTGTTATTATTGTCACCCAACTGACGCGAAATCTTTAAATGTAATATCAATTATAAAAAGTTATTGGTATTTTAAGCAACTTCTAGTCTCGCGCGCTATGCATTGTGGGAACATGGCGGCATTTGGTCGCAACTTTTTCCCTCTTAATCGCTTTTTTTTCTGTTATATATGCGATTATTTATTAACAAAGTAACCGACCACCGCATAAAGCTGCGTTAACTTTACGGTTAGGTTAAAATTGTCTTCGGATGTGGTTAAAAAAAGTTAAATCCTGCGTTAATGTAAAAAAAAAAAAAAGGGGGGGGGGTGCGCATGCGCACTGCAAGCATTCAGTCTAGCAGTCCGAAGACGTAATTTAGCTATTTCCTGACAAGATTTATATTAAAATGTCTTGCACATTGATAACATTAATCTTTGATTTTTTGATACTGCACATTGTAATGCTGTTCTCTTAGCTTATACGCCTTTAAACGATTTTCCTCGCAAAACAGGACTTGCTTAGTTAATTTAGTCAGTAGATTAAAAGTAGGTGTTGTCGAGCAGAATGTAACAATATTACGATTGTACCATCGCACTGGACAACACATAAAAACAAAAGACTGTTTTATTATGGATTGTTAATTGAGTGTAACTATCTATTCTAGTAAACTTTACACAAACACATGGCATTTAGGAAGTTCTGTTGTAAACAAATATATTTATTTAGTCGTTTCGTAAGAAGGTAGTATTTTACCCCTACAGAAAACTGTGTTTATATCTTTACTTCACTGTTCTTGTCATTCATTGGTTTCCTCTTGCTTCCTTGTAAGGCAAGAGTATTAAAGTTAGCAGCTGCATGTCTGACAGTAAACCTATGTCGGTTTTAAACCTGCATTCAGGGCTGTGGTTCTGGTTTTTGTTATAGGAAAAAAAATCGCTATTTAACGTCCAATTCACAGCACAATTGCACATTTTCGCTGCTTGTTACCACAATAAATCGTTACCTACATTTTTTCTGTCTGATGTACGGTTAGAGGCTGGTGCTGGTCCGTCTCGAGCAGGATTTGGACCCGCAGCTGATCTGTGGTCAGCTTGGTGACTAGTCTCTGATAAACATTTCCTCTAAATCTGATCCACAGTCAGTTCCTGTTGAAAGCACCGCCGGTGTAAACGTCAGGGATTCGTCCTCCAGTGACTCAATTCATGACTGCCCCCTGGTGGACGGGAGTGGTATGAAAGCGATATTTTGAGCATTGCATATTGCAGGTTTTTTTTTCTTTCATGCAATAGATTTAGGCTACACTCATCTTATGTGAAGAAATATAAGAGTTGTAGCTGTTTTGAGCAAAATACACTGTTGTAAACAGTCAACTACTGCATCAAATTGTAGCTATCCAGTGTTTTTAAAAGTATTTTATGAAGAGTAAGTTGTTGAAATCCTACAAATACATGACTACACATTTTCTCAAAAGGTCACAAGAGACTGGCTTTTTCATATTCTTACAGGTATAGATATGAAATTACTGTGCAAATACACTCCTGATCAAAATCTTAAGACCAGTCAAAAAGGTGCAAGAATTTGCATTTTGCACTTTTGGATCAGAAGGTTCTAGAGCTTCACAATGTTAAAAGAAGAAATCAGTGCAAGAGACAAGAACTTTTGAGCAGGGAATTTTCTGAAAACTGCATTTACACTCAAACATGATTTTTTTTCAGCTGATCAAAAGTTTAAGACCATAGTCTTTAAAAGCCAAAAAAAAACCCCAAAACAGAAATCAAAGTGTCAAAAAAGGACTCAGTAATGAGCAGCTCCACCATTCTTGTTGATGACTTCAAACAATGGTTTAGGCATGCTTGATGCCAGTGTTTCCAGGAGGCTAGTGGGAACGTTGCTCCAAGTGTTGAAGATGGCTTCATGAAGGGCATCCACTGTCTGGAACTGATGTCCATTTTTGTAAACTTCCCTTGCCATCCATCCCCAAATGTTCTCAGTTGGGTTTAGATCCGGGCAACATGCAGGATGGTCCAAAAGAGAGATGTTGGTCTCTTGGAAGAACTCCTTTGTCATGTGGGCATTGTGAACTGCAGCATTGTCCTGTTGAAAAACCCAATCATCACCACACAGACAAGAGCCCTCAGTCATGAGGGATGTCCGCTGCAACATCTCCACATAGCCAGCTGCTGTTTGACGCCCCTGCACAACCTGAAGCTCCATTGTTCCATTGAAGGAAAACGCACCCCAAATCATGATGGCGCCCCCACCACTGTGCCATGTAGAAAACATCTCAGGTGGGAACTCCTTGTCATGCCAGTAACACTGGAAGCCATCAGGATCATCAAGGTTAAATTTTTTCTCATCAGAGAAGACAACTTTCTTCCACCTTTCAATGTCCCATGTTTGGTGCACCCTTGCAAAGTCCAAACGGGCAATTTTGTGGCGTTGAAGAAGACGTGGCCTTTGAAGACGTTTTTTTGTTTCTGAAGCCCTTCTCTCACAGATGCCGTCTGATGGTTAATAGGTTGCAGTCAGCACCAGTAATAGCCTTAATTTGGGTAGAGGATCATCCCATGTCTTGACGGACAGCCAATCGGATCCTGCGGCTCAGAGCTGGTGAAATTTTTTTGAGTCTACCACTTGACTTTTTTGTTCCATAACCCTCAGGATCATTTAAAAAATGCAAAATGACTGTCTTACTGCGTCCAACTTCAGCAGCGATGGCACGTTGTGAGAGGCCTTGCTTATGCAGCTCAACAATCCTACCACGTTCAAAGTCAGTGAGCTTTTTTACTTTTGCCATCAGGAGGTCTTGACAGTGTAAAGACTTGACAGAAAATGACATGGAATCCAGATTTTTGCACAGTTTTTGGCTTTTAAAGACTATGGTCTTAAACTTTTGATCAGCTGAAAAAAATCATGTTTGAGTGTAAATGCAGTTTTCAGAAAATTCCCTGCTCAAAAGTTATTGTCTCTTGCACTGATTTCTTCTTTTAACATTATGAAGCTCTACTTACAACCTTCTTAAGATCCAATAGTGCAAAATGCAAATTCTTGCACTTTTTTGACTGGTCTTAAGATTTTGATCAGGAGTGTATTTAGGTGTATAATATTTAACCTCTGTGCTTAAAGTATCTGAAAGAGCTAAGTTTTAATCAATTCTCACAACGCTGAACTCCATTAGCTGTCATGTACATAAAGAAAACCACAACAGGACAATAAGCCCAAAAATACCTTTAAAACACTGAAACACAGAATGCAAACTGAAGGTTTGTTTAAGTCAAAAGAAGAAACGTGCTTTTATTATACTCCAATCTTCAATGTTATTTTGTCCATTGAATGGTTGAATCATCCAAGTATGCACATAAGTAAAACTATTGTTTGAGTAAAAAAAAAAAAAACTTTAACAAAGACACAAAATTGTTACCAAAATGTTCACTTTATTTAACTCTTTTTTTAAATCCAGGACAACTCATTCAGGGATAATCAAGGAGAATTAACTTTTTAATTGTTTTATTTTTTTTGTTTTGTTTTTACACTTTGTCAGAAATAGACAGTGAATTTTATCCAGAACTTGTCAAAGTAAACCAAAGAAAGAAAACTGTAGATATAATATCAATACGGTAATAATCAATTCAATACAATGAAGTGGCGTCTTGACAGAATAACAATGGCCCGGAAAATGTAGGTTTGTTGTTTTCACGGCGTCCTCTGCGGTACTGCAATAATCACCAGCACTAACTCAACTCAACTCAACTCAAGTCAACAATAGTAGAGGAAGAAAATGGAGTGCGCTCACAAAGTTCTGCGCTTCAGCCTCCCAAAGAGGAAACACTTTTTATTTAAATAATATCTTATCAAAGCTTCTGTTTTTAATCATCATAAAATGTTTCTAAAACATATTTGTCTTTAAACTCTCCTTTTTTTTGCATTTTTGACTTATTTTTCATTTCAGAAATCTTTCGAAGTTTGTTTTCTCCACAATGTGTATGTGTGTGTGTGTGTGTGTGTCTGCACGTGTGGCTGTGTTTCTAGCATCTGTATGCCCAGTGTGTGTGCACCTGCATGTTGATGTGTCCTTGGCTGAGGCTCGGGACAACTCTCAGTTGTTCGAGGGCTCATGTGAATGGAAAGCCTGCACGCATGGAGCATGATGATGTGATTTGTTTGTGTGTGTGTGTGTGTGTGTGTGTGTGTGTGCTTCATGTCCTTACACTGCTTTACCTGCAGCAAAGACATTCATACTGAGAGGTGCTGGCTGTAGCAACAAGGTGGGCGGCCTTTAGCTTTAGTCTATGCGTGTGTGTGTGTGTGTGTGTGTGTGTGTTTGTGTGTATGTATAAATATAACCTAACAAAAGTCAGGAATCAGTAGCTAGTGTCTGCCCAGGGGTTGAGCCGACTTTGTGGAGTGTGCATCTCAGTGCCTGTATGTGTGTGTTTGTGTGTGTGTGAGCGAGGGCGAGTGTTGTGTGGTTTATGTACCTGCAGATGAGCCAAGTACACTATCCCATGCTTCTGCACCATATGTAAAGCTTGTGAGTCCATATAACCACTTTATGATGTTGGAGTGGACATATGTCTGCGTGTGTCAGTGTATGTCTGTGTGTCTGTGTGTGTAAAAAAGGCACAGAGGATGGTGTGGGAGGCTCAGTCTCTCAGGTCCATGCTAGACCCGAACAGAGCCACCAGCTGTTCCTCATAGTGGGCGATGTTCCTCTTCATGATTTCTTTACAGGACCCCAGGAGGCGCTCAAACGCCTGCACGTCTATTACTGCAAAGAGAGAGAAGTTCAATATCATTTATGACTGCAGTAACACAAAACTCTTCAAAAAATATGTTTTGAACTTTCAGTTCCAACCGTCAACTCTTCAGAATTCAAGTTTTAGTTATTAAATCACAAAAACCTCTAGACAAAGATATATATAGAAGATAAGTTATAAATCTGTTGTTCACCTTGCAAATAAAAACGACTGATTGTCACTAAAAATGCCATTCAGATGACAAACTGGCCAAAATAATTTGAAATGATCCCACAAATAAACACTACTTTGTCATTCAAATGATGGTAAAACTTTCAGCCAATATGCTACAATACACGGCTTCTCCCTGACCACTCTTTAAGACAACATTAGTGGAGGAACACTGAAGGATGGGATTACAGTGTAAATACCACAGCAGTTGAGGTACACTAAGCCAGAGATTCTTAACCCATGGGCCGCGGCCCAATGCGCCACCTTGAGGGCCTCAAAAGAACAACAGTTTTTAACTTTGGGCCACAGAGGACCGTGGGACCGCATTGATTTTAAATAAGGTGCAATACACTTTCTCACCACTAGTAGCAGTAGTGCGCCACTCAGATGTTTAACAACGTTTTTAACATGTAGAAGAAGAACCTTCGAAAAAGTAGAAGGCAAAAATGTCAGCAACCCATCAAAAAATGCCAAAGTTTTTCACTAATAAGAAGAGCAGCTTCTGTTTTTACCATGAAATATTTTAAAAGTTCAAAACATTATCAAATACAGTTGCAGATACAACTATAT